AATTTGAACTTCATCAAAGTAAAAAAAAAGGTTTTTTTTCCTATCTTATTTCTTTTGCAGTGCTAGGGATTAAACAAAGGGCCTTGCAAGATTAGATAAGCACTCTACCACTAAGCCCCATTCCCAGCCCCAAAGACCTTCTGTTCTTCAAAAAACACTGCTAAAAAAAATAAAAAGACAAGCCATATACTAGGGGAAAAAAATTTCGAGTCACATATCCAATAAAGGATATGTACTTAGAAAGCATAATGAACTCTCAAATAAAGAGACATCAGCAAAGTAGGTGGTATGGATGACAAACACATGCAAAGATGCTCAAAATCATTCATCACTAGGGAAATGCAAATTAAAACCACAAGGAAATAACACTAAAATTTTAGAAGTCTAAAATAAAATTAAAGACTGACCATACCAAATTATTCGCAAGAAATGGACCAACTTGAACTCCAGTACCTGGTGGGTATATAAAATAGTATAATCATTTTGGAAAACTCCTAAAAAGTTACATTTACCAGAAAACCTGGCCATTTCACACCCAGGTATTTGCACAATGGAAATCCTAAGAGTATATCCAGACAAAGACTGTTATACCGATTGTTTACAACAATTTTATTTCTAATAACGAAAAATTTGAAAAGCACGTAAATGTTCTATGTTTAAATCAGGTTCTATTCATTCATCAGAATATTGCTCAATAAAAAGAAATGAACAAACCATTGATATTTGCAATACCATGGCTTAATCTCAAATTATGCTGAGTAAAAAACAGCCAGATGTTATTTGCAGGTGAATGGATGGCGCTGGAGAGGATGGTTAGATGAAGTTGGCCAGTCCCAGGGGTACAAATGCGTTTTCTCTGATGTAGGGAGTCTGATTCATGGTGGGGTAGGTGATAGAAAGCCTATGGGTGACCAGGTATGGCGGCACACTCTTGGAAACCCAGCAATAGAGGCAGAGGATCACAAATTTCTGAGACCAGTCTCCACAACTTAGCGAGGCACTAAGAAACTTAGTGAAATCTTGTCTCAAAATAAGAAATAAAATGGGCTGGGGATATGGCTGAGTTATAGAACACCTCTGGGTTTAATCCCTAGTACCAAAACAAAACAAGTAGGTGGGAGGGAGAGGGAGGGCTATCAGGGAGGAAAGGACTTACAAAGGAACTCACAGTATCCTTTGGGAGTAAGAATGTATTCATTACTGCATGGTCAGCAGTCTGTCCACAGCCCCAATCAAAATGCATGGCCTATCCCAAGTCTTTTTGAGTCTTAGACTTGCATATTCATAGCATTGTATGGGAAAGTTGTGTTATGGAACCAAATGTCAGGTTCTGGTCATAGTGGCTGACAACAAAGACTTTGCCTTTGCCTTCTAGAGACCCAGTTCCAGGACTGTGCACATAGCAAAGCAGTACAGCAAAGTGTTTAACAGCATAAAGGCCTACCTTAGAATACAAACATTACCACCCTTTCAGTTTTAGGGACATCATCTATCTTCTGTGAAGCTGTTTCCTCACTTATGAAATGGTAATAATGTCATCTACCTCAGGGTGGTTATGGGAACTGAGTTCATCAAAATAAAGCACTTGACATAGTTCAGGACATATTTTAAATGCCCAGTAAATGTCCTAAGTTGTTATTATTACCTCCATTTCCCTTTACATGGAGTTTCTTTGCTCTTCAAATTATGACTTTCACTTAGGACCATATCCCTAGTTTTCTTGGCCACTATTTCAAAAACCCAAGGCACAACATGTCTAGATAGTCTAGTTTTTGGTGGCTACTGTACAATATTGTACGTATGTATTATTAGAATGTACGTATTGTTAGAATTAATTTTCACCTTTTACTAACTTTAAAAAAATGTCTCCCAGAAATTTAAAATTATATATGTAGTTTGTATTATCTATATTTCTACCAGATACTGCTAGTCTAGCTGGACCAATAGTTCGAAGCTGTACAAACGCCTCCCCAGATGGTAATCTAATATACTCCAGTCAATAGGTCATTGTTTCCCAAAATCTTAGCCCAAGGGATTAGGAAATTTAAGTCTCTTCACACCTACGAAATATACCCAGTATCTATCCACCACACTCAAATCAATGACAAGAAACTCACCAACTCCCAAAGCAGCCCTTTCTATATTTGGATAAGTCTTGAGAACAAGATGATACTTCCTTAACCTCATGAACATCTACTTACCTCCCCAGTAGGCAAATTTTAGCCTTACATTAGTCCTTTGAGCTATTCAGAAAGGCTCAAGAACAGAAAAAAACCACCATTTGCAGGTCATTTACAAAGAACTGTGTAAAATTTACTATAGCATTTAATCTTCACAGCAATGTAAGAATTACTGCTGTTTTCTCCATTATAATGGGGCCTTCAGGGCTTAGAAAAATAAAGCTAGGATATCAAAATCAGGAAAAGGCAGATTTTAACCAGACCTGGCTGACTTCTCAACTACTTCATTCTATACTGCTTTTGTTGGTTACGCTCTCAACATCCCCCTCTCCCTAGTTCTCCCACCTGGCAGCTACAAACTCAATCTAGATGCAATCCTGTTCTGGCCAGAGCTGTCCTTACCTGTCTCAGCAGCCCCGAGGATGTCCAGTCTGTCACGGATAGCAGGTACCAAAGTCAAAGCTTGGATTGGTGTGGGTGCAGAAAAGCCTAGAAAGCTGAGTGCTCGGAGAACTGGTTTGGGCACAAAGAGGTCCTTCCAAGCTGACACCTCTGCCTTCTGGTCATGTACCTCAGGCATCCATGTCTTTGCTTTTTTTGGTACCTTGGGGGCAGTGCTCTGCGAAGGCTCTAATCTTTTTTTCCCTTTGTTTTTCTTCTTTTTTGGAACAGTATGTTCTGGGCTTTCTGATGCTATCTCCCCTACCTCTGAATCAGGACAAATAGTGTCATCTCCCTGAGGCTCTGGCTCAGCATCTTTGACTTCAAAGTCTTTCTGGGTAGTAATGATTTCTTCAGTAATTGGTACCACAACTTTACTCTTCTTCAATTTGATCTTTTTCTTTGGAGAACTAGACTCTCCTTCCTCTTCTTCTGAACCAGCTTGTACCTTTCTCTTCTTGAGCTTCTCCTTTGAGAAGAGATTGGAGGGATTCTTGACAGCAGAGACCAATCGATAATCTGTCAGTTCCTCGAAGCATACCAAATCATCCATCTGTCCATCTGCAAACATGTTTGGGTCAATCTTCACCTGCTTCCATTTCCCCAAAACTTTGATGCCTTTGGTCTGAAATTTGCCACGGCTTGGTGGCTTTGGCCTTGATTTTGTCTCCTTCAACTTCATGGTTGCTAAAAAGGAGAGAAATGTTCCTTTAGGTTGGTGACTGAAAAGCATGGGGTTCTAAAGCAACAAATAATTTCTGGGCAATCTGTCAAGTACCAGGCCCTGCAAAGAACTAAGAATACAAAGATGGCTATAACAAAGATGCTCCAGCCAAGAAAAGATGCTCCAAGCTAGAGAAAGAAATACACCCACAGCACAGGTGGCTTGGCCTGGAACAGGAGACACAGGAACTGGAGCAAAGGCATATGAGGTAAACCTGGTTTGAATTCCAGACCCAAAATTTAATGCGTGCCTGACCCTGCGCAGGGCTGCTTATTGTCTCCTGAACCTTAGTGTTTTCTTTTTTTTTTAAAATATTTATTTTTTGGTGTAGATGGACACAACACAATGCATTTTATTTTTTATGTGGTGCTGATAATCGAATCCAGGTCCTGCCTGTCCTAGGCGAGCACTCTACCGCTGAGCCACAACCCCAGCCCAACCTTAGTGTTTTCATCTATAAAAAAGGGAAAGGGACCTGTGTTTTATGCAAATATGAAATTATATAAAGCATGGAGAATGGGGCTTGGTTGATTCCTAAGCCATTTGGAAGACAGAATAAAAATCTGAGTTTTTGTCTGGGGGTTGGGGTGTGCTTTATTAAAAAGTGCACCGAGGGGCTGGGGCGCGGCTCCAGCGGTAGTGCACTCGCCTGGCATGCGCGCGGCGCTGGGTTCGATCCTCAGCACCACATACAAATACAGATGTTGTGTCCGCCGGAAAAAAAATTCTCTCTCTCTTAAAAAAAAAAAAAGAAAAGTGCACCGAGCTTCCTCCTTCAACCAAAAAGGCAAATGCCTGTTCCGTCCCTCTGGCTTTTACCAAACGGGTTAAAACCCACCCAGCTTTTTCGTCACGTTAAGTGACTTAACGTCCAGGCGCAATTTCTTCGGGTGGCACTCGGCCCATGCCTCTACCTAACGCGTCAAAGTTAACAGATCCTGCGCAATACGGACCCACCCCCGACAGCCCTGGGTCTGGGACGTGTCAACCTCCGGGAGCCTCAGTGTCCCCGTCCGCGGGATGGGGCCGCGCACGTCCCGCACTTAACAAGCGAAGGTGACGCACATCAAAAACCGCCGTCGAAGGGAGGCCGGTCGATGCCGGCTGCGACCGCGGTGGGCAGGGGGCGGGGACTGTCACTAGGACGGGGTCGAGGTGGCGGCAGAGACCTGCACGGAAGCTGCCCCGCGCGGCCCGCGCTCTCGCCCCTGTAGCTTATTCACAACCGAGGCCACGGGGCAGAAGCCCGAAGAACGGGGGCTGGGCGCGAGGACCGCGTGCAGCGCGCTCGGCGGCCTCCCTCTGAACCCAGCCGCCCGCCGAGGTCAGCGCCAGGAGCCCCGGGTCCCGCCCCGGCCGGGTTTCTGCTCGGGTACTCACTGCGTGGGGAAAGCGGGGACCGGGCCGCAGCTCCCTCACGCGCGGGTCAGCAGCCTCAGAAGCCACCACAGCAGTGCCTCAGCTGCAGCGTCGACCGCAGTTCCGGGGCGGAGCTTCCACTCACGCGTGCGCGCTGCCGCAGGAAGTTCCGCCTCCACGCCAACTCCGCGACCTGACGGGCTGCTGCGCGGCTTCAGCCCTAGGAGCTTGGAGAGCGAGGCGGAGCGTGTCCCCAGCCTCACGCCGGGAAGCTCTTCTGTGGCGTAGGGCTCGGCGCAGGCCAAAGGTTCGTGCGCTCCATTCCTGGCGGCGGTTCGCCGGCGCAGCCCGGAACGCAAGCCTTCTTGCGGGAGTTGTCCACCTGTTGGGTACCCACTGTGTGCCTGAAGCTTTGCACACCGTTTTGTCATTTAACCGCTGAAGGTACGGTCTCCTCCAGGGTTTTGTGCCTTGCCCGTTGCACCCGGATCGTTAGGGTCGATCTGCTCGACTCAAAACACAGGCTTTAACCGCCAAGCGGGCTGGCTCCTTTGTTGTAATGCAGAGAAGTTGGCTTCACAGTGAGTAGTGACCTTTACCTCGTGGCTGTCCCGGGGCCACCTGAAACTCCCTTCGCATACCTCGTGTCTGATGATGCTGGGAATCACGACAGGACATTCACGGGAAATTGGCCCAGCTTCGGTCCGTTGTGCACTCGCCCCTCTCCATCATGGAGCCACCGTGGCTCAGGGCTTCACCCTTGTCTTGGGGGGGCTTGCCATTTGTATCTCCAAGATTTGAGGTAGCATAGAGCCTGTCTGTAACTGGTGCCCGAAGAAGTCTGACAAGAGACTGGAGCTGCCCCTGTTGGCGGGGCGAGGAGAAAGGGCTGCAAGTCCCTGAGTGGCAGGTAAGTTGTGGGGTTGTCTTTCTGGAACCTTACCTAACAGGGCTGTTTGCTGGGGAAAGGAACCCCAACAGAGGGGCTGGAAGTAGACCCCTGTGGTGGAAATTGGGAGCATCTTTCCGAGTCAGGATGCTACCCTGTGTCAGGATTCTCCAGAGAAAGAGAACCCACAGGACTGTGTGTGTGTGTGTGTGTGTGTGTGTGTACATACATTTAAAAGAAATCGGTTTAATTTTTTTTTAATAAGAAAGAGGGAGATTCCAGCAAAAGCAAAAGAAGAACAAAGATTGTATTATAACAGTGGAAACAGATGTTTTTTTCTCTTCTTAGTATTTTATTTTCTAAGGAAATAAAAATGTGTGATAATTTAATAGACAAAGAAGCAGGGCTTTTTTCAGTTGGTAAAAGTAATCAAAATCAAGGCAAGTAAGGAATGAGTCCATGAACCCCAGGGACCCAAGCAGAAGCCTCCAAAATCATTGGTTGCTGTGGGTGTACTTAACAATGTGTAGGTATGTCTTCAAAAACAAAACAGAAGAATATATGTGGATCATGTGGTTATCATCAAGAGTGCACCTGAAACAGTTGGAGATGGTGAGCTCATAAAACTCCCCAGTAAGAAGGTGACATGTCAAGTGGGGGAGAGCTCCTGGGGAGGGCTGAGGGTCTAGAATCAGATTACCTGGATCTTGATCTAAACTCTGTAACATGAGCTGTGTGACTTTGGCAAATTATTTAATCTGGCATCTGTTTCTTCATTTGTAAAATGAGAACAGTACTGTTATGGGGAGCTGCTTCAGAAAACACTCTTAGTCCAAATTCAGATCATTGAGAGCTTTATTTACCTGGCCAGGACTGTCACCCACCCATAGAGACTGAAGCTCTGTAGGAGAACAGCAACTTCCTGGCCTGTATCCTGGGAATTTCAAGATGAAAACCACAATTCAGGGGCTTTCCTTAGTGTCATGCAAGTAAGCCAATCACAGAAATTAAAACAATAGTTAGTGGGACCTGGGAGCTCTAAGCAGGGCTGGAATTTTCCAGTTAGCAATCAAGGACAGAAGTAGAGAAAAGGCAATCAGCTTTGCAAGTCAGTTAACCACATTTCCAGGTTCAAGCAGGTGCGAGACAGCAGTATCCTGACTTTGAACAGGGGTCGGCCAGGGATAGAATCTATTTCAAATTCATGTAGACCCACAAGTGCACTCAAACCCAGGATGTAACTCTCCATGATCACCACTGCATCCTGAGTAAGGTATAATTTGTGGAGTACAAAGTACAGAAAAACAGTTTTTATAGCTTTCATTTCAGTTTCTCAGAAACAGCTCTTGTAACAGTTTTTATTTTTAAAGAAGGCAGCAAAATGGAGTCTTAGGCCTGTCTGTGACAGCTCTTGCTTTGTAATTGTCTTATCTCACTTATCATATCTATAATCTATATTTTTTACTAATCTGTAACCTATAGCTTACACTCTTACTGATTTTGATTAGTTTACACCACAACAGTACCAGTAACTCTCAGAGAGTTGTGAGGATTAAGTGGGATAATCCATGTAAAGTGCTCCCTGTGGGACCTGGTGCATGGTGAGGCCAGGTCAGCCTTAAAACTATTCCTGTTATTTTCATCATGCACTTTCTTCTAAGCATTTTTTTTATAATACACATCAAAATACAAAAAAAGTTTGGGGAAAACAGTTCAGTCAAGTGCCCCACAGTGTTATTTCAACCTTTTGCTGTTATCAATAACACCATGATAACTATTCATGTGCATATGGTTTTTGCACATCTCTGATTCTTTTTTTTACAACGAATGTGAAGATGAACAATTTCCGGTCAAATGAACTTATACTGCATGTTATTAAATTGCTGACCAGAAAGTCCATGTCCACCCTACCCAGCAGGGAAAGAGAATTTGTCTAATCCTTTCCAAGTCTGCAAATGCTGGTATTTTCAGGTTTTTGCTTTCTGAGCAGATAATAAGGACATACTCATTTTCATTCCATCCCTGCCATGAACCATGGAGGAATAAAAGATAATGACAACAAATTGTTCTGCAGGTGGCCTGGACTGTGCCAGCTGACTTCCCTGTGCAGGAATGTGAAGGTGGAGGGGAAACAGGAACTGTAATTCTGCTTTTGCTGCAAGCATAATAGTAGGGACTTAATTGAGTCCCTATTTGATCCTTCCTTCCTTCCTTCCTTCCTTCCTTCCTTCCTTCCTTCCACCCAGGGGCATTCTGCCACTGAGTCACATCCCCAACCCTTTCTATTTATTTCGAGACAGGGTCTCACCAAGTTACCCAGTCTGTCCTCAAACTTGAAATCCTTCTACCTCAGCCTCCCAAGTCTCCAGGATTACAAGCGTGTACCACTGTTGGTACACTGGTGTTGGTTTTCTGGGTGTTGGTTTTCTGCAGAAGTGGAGTTCCAGGACCCAGTTCTTATCCTATTGGACATTTTACTGCCATAGATGACACTTGCAGTTCATCCTCTCTCAGCCTTTTCTGTAATATATATCATTGTGTGGTGTGTGATTTGAGTTATAGATATTAGTAGTTAAGATTGGAATGGAATGAAAGAACTTGGGGATTGCCAGTGTCATGACACTAGGTGAATCTGAGAGGACTCTGAATTAAAGCTGATGGAATTGATGTAGCTTGTGAATTTATTGTTAGTCAATAAATTCTGATATTGTGGAAAGACACAAATTTGTCCAGTCTATGTTATTTTCTTGTGATACATAGGAAAGGCGAATTCAGTTCAAGGTCATGCTTTGCATATTCAAAAAATGGCAGATGGGAATGCCTTCCTCTAAGGAGAATTTAACATTATAAAGAACAAAGTTTACTCTGAGGTCATCTAAAAGGAAAGAGTCTGAAGGACTCTTTTTGATTAGCTCCTTGTAAGATTCTCAGGAGGCTCTTACCTGAGACAAAAACAGAAAACAACTTGAGTGAGTGAGTTTTAACACTGGTTAGCAATGGTTCTTCCCCACATTCCCCAGGCATAGGTGATTGTCCCAAAAGCACCTGCTTAGCAGCTGGGGATCACGGTAGCACCAGTTCATGCTGACTCCCTGGTTATTGTTACAGCACTAGAGATTCATGCTGCATGAAATAAGCCAGTCCCCAAAAAGTCAAAGATCAAATGTTTTCATCGGTATGTGGAAGCTACACAAAAATAAGGGGAGAGATGATTCATAAAAAAGAGGGGAAAAAAGGGAGAAGGAATTTCATTGAAATAGAGAAAAGATTAGTAGACAAGGAGATTGAGGAGAAGAAAGGAGGGACAGGAAAAGGGAAGAACAGTGGAACGGCCAAACTTTGGTACGTGCGCCTTGATATGGCAGAGGAGTCCCCACATCAGGTGTATCTACAGAACAATTTTTTTTTTTTTTTTTTTTTTAGTTTTCGGTGGACACAGCATCTTTTGTTTGTATGTGGTGCTGAGGATTGAACCCGGGCCGCACACATGCCAGGCGAGCACGCTACCGCTTGAGCCACATCCCCAGCCCCAGAACAATAATTTAAAAAACAAAATAAACTGTAAATGGATTGAAGAAGATGGAAGGGAGTGGGTGCTGGTGTTAGAAATATCAGGGTGCCGCAAGAATTCAGACACGCACTAAGTAAGTTACTCGGCAAGGCAAATTTTACTTCTGCAGAAGGTAGTGCTATCAAAACATCTGGCAAACTAGTACACTGGGCAGGAAGTGTGCCCAGGGCTTCATCCCTGAGGTGGCACTGCCCTTTGCTCTGATAGGAGGAGTTGGAGTTACAGTCCAAGTGATTGACTAATTTAAAAGAGGAGGGCAAGGGGAAGGGTTGTAGTTATGATCAGATGATTTCCTACACTGCAGGCATTATGAGGACAAAGGGAGATATATTGGGGGCTTCAAAATAGCTACATTTCAACCACATGGTTTAGATGACAGCAAACACATTTTTTGTTACGTATGAGGAAACTCAGACTATCGGTTTAACTTTGACAGAAAAGAGAATGTGAATCTTACACTGGGGACTGAATTGGAGCGAGTTGTGTTCCACGCTTCTGTGATTGTGTCAGACTATATCCTGGTGTTGTAGATAATAAAAAGCAAATTTTAAAATTAAAGCAGTTTAACATAAAGGTCTTAACTTGCTTTATTTGAAATTCTAGATCAGGCAATACTTCATTTCATACAATAGGACCCTCCCCAATCTGGCCACAGTGGCACCCTGACCCTGTCACTTGGTCACTGGTAATGAGCCTTGCCCAGGAAAATCACCACAGTGACTAGTCTCCCGTTTCCTGTTCCTTTGAGCTTCAGCATAGCACAGTATCTCTTGCCCTCGACACGCCCACTCCAGGCCAATTCTCCGAAACTGAAGTTGCCCTCCGACACAGCCCACTCCAGGCTGATTCTCCGAAACTGAAGTTGCCCACCGTCTGGACCCTTTGCTTTGACAACTATGTGGAGCTGGTTCATTAAAATCCTCCACTGACCCCCTACAGTGACCTTTAACCCTCTGCGTTCGTCTCTGCCTGTGCTCTTGGCAGGGAATCCTGTAGCCCTCACTGGGCTCTAGCTGAGGGGCTGCTCTGTATTCTGTATATGTGTACATACATCGTTGTATGAAGAGTGGTGTGTGACTTGAGTGTTATATATATTAGAAATTAAGCTTGGAATGAATTAAAAGGACTTGTGATTGCCCAGCGGATGACTATTAGGTGACCCATGGGTATTTGGTGAAATCAATACTACTATAAGTGGTTTGCTTGCAAATTTATTGTTATTCAATAAATTCTGACATTGTGGAAAGATACATTGAATTTGGCCTGTGTTAGTGGCTTAGCTTACCCACAGCCACTGAGCCCATCCTTTGCAAGGCAAGTTTAATTGGCACTAATCCTTGATTAATTTATCTATAGTGGGATGACAGTATCCCCATTGACCTTTGGGTATGGACTTCATTCAGGCAGGGCTGTTTAGCCTGCCTCCAGCTGCAGAGACTGTTCTGTGTTCTCAGGGTGGACAGGAGCCTGGTGGGAAATGGATAAGGAGAAGGAGCAACGGAACCCTGAGTACCTTTCTGCGTCCACCCAGGGCCACAATCACCGTGATCAGAGGTGAGTGTCTGCTGGGAAGGGGCTCCAGCCTAACCTCACCCTGAGCCTTTGGGAGCAGCTGACCTGGTCCCAGCCTGGGCTTCCCTTAAGACCTAAGACCTGCTTGGGTGAGGGTTGGATGGGCAAGGGACAGAGATGGAACGTTAGAGAATAGGACCATGGAGACAGGGACCCTAGAAAAGTTACTAACTTTAAAATCTGAACTGTACATATTTGGATGCATCCTGGAAATGGCTCACAAACCGCAATAGGACACAGGACGTGTCACCAGAACTGAAAGTTCTGCTACTTGCTGATCCACTAAAGCTCAGGAGACAGGTTGATGGAGGAAAACAGGTTTAGTAGATTGAGCTAGGGAGTGCTGGCCTGAGAATAGATAACAATTTTGGTTTTCCGGAACTTTTGTGGCACCTGCTCAGGCTGGTCTCATTCTCAGCAGGAGGAAACTCAGTTGCAGACAGACAGTTCATCAGGACACTGGGAAGCCTGGGGCTTTCAGTGTTAAAGGGCTGTGTTCTGTGCTCACCATCAGAGGGCACTCCCGTGTTACACTGTTTCTGGGAAAGGCTCTAAGCCTTGGGTGCTTCTTCACTGCCACCAAGATGTCAGCTGGAGCCACAGAAAATGGGGAAAGAGTACTGCTGAGTCCCTTCTGCAGAAATCTCAGTCAGATAGAAAGTTCCTGGAAGGAGGTTCCAGAGGGTGAAGTGGCCCAGGGCTTGAGGTGAGGGTAGAAGCTGTGGCCCAGGGGCACAGAGGGTCTGGGTTCTGGCCTGGAGCTGCCCCTAACTTGCACTGTGTCCACGTGAACGTCTTCCCTCCTGGGCTCCAGCCTCCCACTCTGATTTGAGGGGGGCCTGCCAGCTCTCTGTTGGTGGCTGGGTCTCATCCTGTCTCCCACTTGGGTTCACCCCTGGGCATGCCTTTCACCTGTCAGCATAGCTGCCCCTAAGACCCCTCCCCCAGTGAGAGCTCCAGGGAGCTTCTGGAAGTGAAGGATACAGTGGGTCCCTCGGCTTCATATCCTTCTGGGGCCCCTGGGGCCTCTGACCACAGCTGCCCGCTCTGTATGCTCTTCTTCTTCATCTTTTTTAGGGGAGGATGAGATGTCCCAGTCATCTAGTGTGGCCAAGGCCTCCACTGGTTCTGTCCCTGTGGGGGCCCCAGGACCAGCTGGACCAGGGTCTGATCCCCCACATGCCCACCCAAGGATGGAGATAGGAATTTCTCCCACCTGGTAGGTATCAGAATCCGCACGCCGATCCTCAGCCTCCCCAACCTCCCCCTCAGCTCAGCTTCTCTGTTGTGTTAGAGCACGCTGCCCTGATGGTCTCCTCCATGCTCACTCGGCCAGAGACCACAGTGTGGGAGTCCTCTGGTCTCTGGGCCTGGGTTAATTTGTTTCTAAATGTAGGGGTAGGCTTAGGCCACTCAGATGTCTCCCAGCACCAAGTCCCATCCAATTGGGTGGCACAGAAGCCCTTTACACTGGCCTTACGTGCTTTACAAAGGCCTGGCAGCTGGCCAGTACGGGCTGAGGCCTGCTTCCTGGACCTCTTGGTCCAGCCCATGGCCTGTGAGCTTCAGTCTTGCTGGCTCAGAGCCTGGTCCATGGTGTCCTCCTCCCAGCACCTGTATTGAGCCTTCCCCTGGGAGCAAGGCAGCAGAGGCACACTCCTATTTTTTTAATTGTGCTAAAATACAAGTAAAATAAAATTTGCCATATTAACAGATTTTAAGTGTATACTTCAATAGTGTGTACTTAAGTACATACACACTCTTATGCAACCATCACCAACATCCATCTCTGGAATTCTTCTTCTGTTGCAAAACTAAAACACAGTTAAACACTCTGCATTTCTTACTCACCCTGGCCCCGGGCAGTCACTTTAGGAATTGGACTACTCTCCTACCTCATAGACGTGGAAGGTGTGTGCCCTTATTTCACTCAGCATAATATCTTCAGGGCCCATCCATGGTGTAGTAGGTGTCAGAATATCTTTCCTTTTTAAGTCTAAATTAACATTTCATTGTATGAAAGATGACATTTTATGTATTCATTCATCCATTAATGGACACCTGGTTTGCTTCTATCTCTTGATTTTTGTGAATAAAACTGCTCTGAACATGGGTGCATCAATCTCTTCAAGATTCTTTCAGTTCTTTTGGCTATATACCCAGACACAGAATTGCTGAATCACGGGGTAATTCTATTTTGAACTTTTTGAGGAAGTGCCATAATGTTTTCCATAGCAGCTGTACATTTTGTATTTCCACCAACAGCTCACACTTGTTTCAATATCTGCACATCTTCCCCAAAACTTGCTGTTTTCAGTTTTATTGATAGCAGTCATCCTAACAGATTGAGATGGTTTAGATTTTGTGTTTCCTTGATGATTAGTGATCTCAAGCATCTTTTCATATGCTTATTGACCATTCCTATATCTTTTTTGAGAAATGTCTGTGTTGTTAGAGTACTTTGCTCATTTTTAATGTGTTTTTGTTGTTTTTAAGATGTAAGAGTTTTTTTATATTTCAGATATATGATTTTCAAATATTTTCTCCTAGGCTGTACGTTCCCTTTTCATCCTGTTGCTTATTTTTTTATGAGCAAAAGTTGATTATATCTCTTGATCCAGGAACCTTTTTCTGTAATACTGTGTGTCTCTTTGATCCTGTGCCTGGGCCTGGCACAGAGGGGGTCAGAGTGAAGGAAACTTGGTCCTTGACCGTAGAGAGGTCAAAATCCAGCAGAGGAGACAGATCATGACATTTCATTGTGGAAAATTCTGCAGCAGAAGCAGCATAGTGGACTTAAACTTGAGTGAGTGGGTAGAGGTCCAGCAGCTGAGAAAGATTGGGAATGTATGTTCAGGGGAGACTTTCTGGAGAATGTGACAGATGGTAGGAAAACTGGCCTAAATCTCGCAATTAAACGACCCAAGGCCTGAAGGAGCAGGAAATGGCTTCTATTTATCTCACAGAACAGGAACATTAAAATTATATAGGTTCATATGGCTAAGGGTTACCAATGGGCAGCATAGGCCTAGGGTATGACCAAGGAATGTGGCACAGAGTCCAAGATCTTTGGAAGTAATGGAGGAAGAACAGAAAGACCAACTTAGTGGATACCCATAGTCCACTGTATTTGTTTATTGCTTTTTGCAGTTTCAGTTACCTGTAGTCAACTGGAGTCTAGAAATACTAAATAGAAAATACCAGAAATAAACAATTCATAAGTTTTAAACTATATTCTGCTCTGAATAGTGTGCTAAAATCTTAGGCCTTCCTGCTCCATCCTGCCTGGGTCATTAATCATCCTTTTTTCCAGCGAATCCTTACTGTATATGCTACTGCCTGTTAGTCACCTAGTATCTGTCTAGGTTGTCAGATTGACTGGTGGTACCACAATGCTGTGTTAAGCAATCCTATTGTACCTAATAATGGCCACAAAGCACGAAAATAGTGATATAAAGGAGACACCAGAACGTAAAACAGGACAGATGAATTTTGGTACTCTGTGGCAAAACTGCATGTGTGTATGGGCTTCAAGGTCTTGGAGTGTATCCCCATGTAAATAAGGGAGGGACTACTGTGTCATTTCAGTGTGTGTGTGTGTGTGTGTGTGTGTGTGTGAATGGAAGGAGAGACAGAGGTCATGAACCATGAGCTAAGGCTTCGGGAGCTGATCTTCACCTTCTCTCCCTGGACAGGGACCATGCCTCCTCTTCCTAGGGATCTGTCTGAGATCATCCTGCGGGTCCTAAACTCTCTGGAACCCTGGGTCTCAGCTGCCTGAGCACCCCGTCTCTACCCCTGTGGTGATCGTTGTCATATATGCACTGCCAACTCCAGGATCTCTAAACAATTCGGGAGGTCCAGGCATGCTCTGCCTAGTGTTAAGGACTCAGGCCCCACCCTGACCGAGCTCTCTCTTCCTCTCAGATGCTGGCTAAGTAAACCCCCTCCGTTCCCAGCTGGCTCAAGGGCTCCTTCCCACATAACCTCTGGCTGCAAGAGGATCAGAGAGGTCTACCCTGCCTAGGGTGCACGGTGCTGAGGGATCCAGGCAAGCTCACACCCAGTCACGTGGAGGGGCTTGGGCTGAATTACAGAAGTAACCTCATGCTCTCTGCCTTCCTGTGTCCTGTGTCTGTGCACCCTCTCCCTTCCAGAGGCGGATTTATTCCCCCTCCTTTGAATCTTGGCTGCTTTCGGGACCTGCTTTAGCCAATAGAAAGCAATGGAAGGGCCACATGGCCTTCCACTGTAGCTCCCAGAGCCCATTGCCACATGAGAACAAGTCAGGCTGGCCTGCTGGAGGTCATCAAGCACATGCACAGAGTGAGGCCGCCCATTCATTCCAACAAGGCTTCATAAGCTAGCCCTGCTAAGATCCGAAAAACTGATTGCAGCTGAGACCAGAAGAGCCAGTTGCCTAAATTGCTGACTTGCAGAGTCAGAAAAATCATGAGCTAAATAATTTTTGGATCCACTAAATTTTGTGGTTTCTTATTATCCAGCCATAGATAACTGACCACATAACATGATGTGTATAAGACACTGAGAGGATCGTGCTATTTGACATGTAGGACAAAGCAGTCAAAGATTAACTCTAATGGTGGCTATCTGTGAAGTCTTCCTGAAGGAGACGCTATCTTCAGAATTATATAGTTATAAATACCAGAAATTTGATTACAACTGCCTCAGAGTTCAGAGGACTCTATTGCCTTATTAAAATTAAAGAACTGAAAGAAAATACATACATTAGTCTTTGTTGTGTTACTACAACAGAAGACCTGAGGCAGCTAACATATAAAGAGAAAAGGTTTAACTAGCTTACAGTTGTAAAGGTTCAAAATCCAAGATCAGGTGGGCCCCACTGGTTTGGTCTCTGTTTGGTGCAATCATATGTTGGAGCACATCTCGTGTGTGATCCTGAAAGTGGTAGGGACATGTGACAGTGCCTGCCACAGGAGCAGAGACTGGGGTATTTGGACAGTTGAGACCCAGATCACATCTTATTCCTGTAATTTACTCCAAGTCCTTTAATGTGCGTTTGGTGGGGAGGGAGATAGGGATACCTAATGATGCCCTTAGAGAGTACACCCCCATGACCTGAGGACCTCCCACTCAGTCATACCTCTTAAAGTTCCACAGTACCTCCCTGCCCTTCTGGGGACCAAGTCTTTACATATGGATCTTTGGGGGACACTATCAGAGTAAGCTCAGCAAAATTTGATGTGTCTCTTTCCATGTCCAACTTTATATTGAAGTTAAAAAAAAAAAAAAGAACTACAACAAAATTACTATCCTAATTGTTTTTAAGTGTGCAGTTCAATAGCATTCAAGTATATTCACTCGCATTGTTGTGAACAAGGTCTCCAGCATTTTCTCATCTTACAAATCTGAAACTCTGTACTATATTGAGATAACAATCCCCTCTCCCCTTTCTCCCAGCCCCTGGTATCCACCATCCTCCTTTCTGCCTGTTTGAATTTGACTACTCTAGGTCCTCACATTAGTGGAAATCGACAGTTTTTGGCTTTTTGTGATGATTTATTTCACATAGTATAATGTCCCAAGGCCTAGCTTTGTTACAGCATGTGACAGAACTAACTTCCTTTTTAAGATAGCATAATATTCCATTGTATTTATAACTCACATCTTGCTCATCTCATTCTTCCATCAGGGAGCACTTGGGTTACTCCTACCTCTTAGCAATTGTGAATAGTTCTATGCATATTTTCTGTTTTGGAGAAAGCTCAACATAAATTTCAAAGCTGAGAAGAGTGAGCACAAGGAAAACAATTTTAAAGAAGTTAATTTATTCTGTGAGTCTTTACAACTGCTCTAGTTTTTTTGACACCTTCCTCCCCAGAAAGACTGTTTAATATAATTATTTGACAAGAATCAATCTTTTCTCTCTCTCCCTATATTTCAATTATGAAGCAATAATTTTAATCTTGAACAGGAATTGTAAAATAATTTTTTTAAAGACATAAAATATCTGAAGTGTTAACCACCATTGAAGACTGTCATTTGATGTCAATTAAAAAAAAAAAAAAACCTCTGGGAGAAAAAAACAGTATTTCTATATTATATTGCAAACAATCATTCTTAAAAGTCATTACCGTATATCAATGGTAATATAGTTGTTTTTAAAATGACACACCCTCCCATGGTTAACCCACAACGATTGATACAGTGGTCAAATCCCAGCTGGAAAACGGAGGAGAGTGGCGTCTCTCATTTTGTTGCTGGATCCCAGACCAGAGACTCTCCTGGGGTCCCAATGAACGGGATTCCGTCACCTTTCCACATGAGAAATCTGTTAGGTAGCAGTTAAGGCATGAGCAGGAGGTGAGAATTCTGAGAAGATACTCAGTACAAAGCCTATCAGTTAATTGACAGTCCTGTCTCAGTGGTAGTGGAAGGCCTGGCAAGACAGCTATTTCAGGACCCTTGCCTGATCTCAGCCCCATAGATGAATCTTCTTACAACTGGAGAAAAACAGATAAATCCAGGGGAGGACAAAGATAGGTTTGCTTAGCAGGGCCTAGTTGCTAAGACACCTTAAGCATGACCCTGCACAAAAATACAACCAGAGATTTCCAGGCTAGGAAAGAGGGGTGATCATCACTGATGATTGTGGGCCCCCTCACCATGAATTTGGCCAAACCAGTTCCAATTAGGACCTGTCAGCCAGGAAGGATGACCAAGAGTTGCCCTTTGATTGTTAGCTAGAGTAGTCCGTCCGACCAGAGCCCACAGGTGATACTTGGGTGAGACCTAACAATCTCCCTCCACCCCATTAAAAGCTGGGATGTAAGTGGGAGAGGGCCCACCTCTCTCCCTGTGGGTGCTCCCCCCACCCCACCCCACCCCTGCTTCTTTTTCTTCTAGTAAACATTGCTATACTTTTGCTAAGCCTAGTGTCTTGCCTGAAATCCTCTCGTGTGAAGACACTGTTAAGGTATGACTCCAAAATCCCAAATAAAACTCTAGGTCTTTTTGAAGTAAAGAAAAGGATTTCTTCTGGCCAGGGCCAAGAGAGCAGACAATAGGTGTGCTTCTGCCACCCTACATGTGCATTAAGCCATCTACAGGGAGCGAGGGTTGCTAACTGCCGAGGGAAATTCTATTAAAAATAAAAAGGAAACATTGGCTCTACTTGAGGCAATTTGATTACCTAAGCAGGAGGCTGTCGTGGCTACCCAGGTCACCAAAAAGGAGACTCTCTGGTCATCAAGGGCAATAATTTTGCCAATGAGACAGCTCAACAAGAGGCCCTGGACTCCAAACCAGAACCAGTCACCATGTTCCCTTTGGCCTTGTATCCCCAAACCAGCCTTCCTTCCCTCCCACATTATCTGCCAGAAGAAAAAGAGAAGGTTAAAGAAAAGGGGGAACAAAATCAGAAGCTGGTGGGTCCTCCTGACTCCAGACCATGGTACCCTGAGCTTTGGGAAGAACATTAGTATTGGATTTATGTGCAACAACTCCTTGGGGGAAGAATCAACTGGCTGAATTTCTAAGACATATTGTATCCCAGGGCTAAAACAACGTCCCAGGACATCTCTGGGCAATGTCCAGCCTGCCAACAGGTAAATGCCCAACAAGAAAGGTGGACCCATTCTGGGGTCCGCAATCGAGGAGAGCTGCCTGGAGATCACTGGGAGATTGGCTTCACCGAGGTAAGACCTCCCTCCAGTAGTTATACGTTTCTCTTTATTTTTGTGGATACTTTCTCAGGTTGGCCAGAAGTGTATCCAACAAAATTTCTTCTTAATAAAGTCCCACCAGGCTGTGAACTGCCTGTCACCAGAAGGTCAGCTGTCAGGCCGGCATTCACTGCAGCGACTGGAAATTTCATTGCGCTGACCAGCCTCAAAGTTCTGCACAGGTTGAGCACGTGAACCAGACCCTCAGTAGATTTACATTAGAGACAGTGCTGGGTGGCCAGTGCCTTTGCCTGTTGCTCTTTTGCGTGCCCGATGCACCCCTTAATCTTTGAGATTATATATGGGAGACCAACCCTTCTACTTCCCTGGGTTTCTGATATTCATTTGGCTAAAATCAGCCACCAGTCTCTTGTTAACTACCTTAAGTCTCTCTAACAGATACAAGAAAAGGCTTATAGACTCTTCCTTCAGGAGAACCAACCCAGAAAGTCCACTGGTTTCCAACACCCATTTCAGCCAGGAGGCAACGTCCCCACCTGCTTGAGACACCTGAAGGCTTTACAGTCAGTCTGCTTGATTTGCCCCTAGGCTTCACATCCAACCCAAAATGGAGAGAGTAAATAAGGTACCTCTACACATGAAGCTTCATGCGTCTCTTCATGGCTGGGCTCCAATTGGTCACCACCGGGAATCCAAACCCAACAAAATAGCGCTCCCTTAAAGCCTGTGTCAAGGTGATTAGTTCTGCTCACTGTGCCGAGTTTCCCCTCAAGAGTGCTTGAGCCCAAATGACTTCGGTTTCTGTTGTGACCGAGGCTCCAGCCTTCCAAGCCCCTTCTATGACTTGGCAGCTGCCATTGGATGGCTTTCAGCCTCAGTCAAAGGAACATGGTCAAGTTGGCCTTCCTGAGCTCACCTGGTCAAGCATAGCCTTGTAGTCGTGGAGGGGCTCAAGTGGGTTGTCTTCTAGTATCAGCCAGGTGGGGTTAAGGGCCCTTGTGGGGGCAAAGGTGAGTTGAGGGTGGTAGTGCAACAAACTCTGATATTGAATAATACGACTATTAGTCATCCATCTACCTAGTGCACCGTTTAGGAGGGTCTCTACAAAGTGTGGTCGCCACTCTGAGGGATTGTCCCAAAGTTAACTTATTGGCCTCTCTGACCATAAGGGCAGTGGCCATTATGATACATAAGCAGGAAGGCCATCTGGATGCTACCAGGTCCAATCTTTTAGATAGATAGGCTATTGTCCTTTTTCAGGGTCAAAGATCTTGTGTGAGAGGCCCTTTGGCAACCCTTGGACTTTTTGCCACAAGCAGGTTGAAGGACTCAATAGCAGCGGGCAGAGTCAGAGCAAGGACCTTGACCAGGGCTTGGTGGCCTGGTCAAAGGCCTGCGGTTCCTTCTTAGTCCATTTTAAAGGGCTAGTTCCTGTGGTGGCTTAAACAAAGACCTTGCTAGTTCTGTAAAGGAGGCAATCCAAAGCCTGCAGTAACTGCCATTCCTAGAAGTTCACAGATTTGTTTCTCTGTAATAGGGCTATGGAGAGAAAAAAATCAGATTTATAGTTCACGTATTTTCTGGTGCCTCTGAGTCAAAGTGGGAAAATGTCCTGAAAGCATTTTGCAGCTTTTCAAGGAATAAGCTTCGAGCTTTGTTGGGGCCTTGGAGTACCTCAGTAGTTCTAGACAATTTAATGGGCTTTTTAGTAGCCCCTTTTAGTCCCCCTAACAAATGCCGGTGATAGGCGTCCAAATGAACATTCTTTGCCCCAGAGTTAGGGTCCTAATCAGGATGGATGTCAGGAAGGGCCTCCTCTAACAATTGTTGTCCCTTGGCTTTGGTGCAACTGGCCACTGAAAGGATGGCTCTCTTGGCCTCCACCCTGAGGCAGTCCTGCTCATCAAAAGTGACAAGAGCCAGCAAGAGCTGCTGGCAGTCGTCGCAAGCAGACCTGTGCATGCAGAAAGTGGCATCGAGGAGTGAAATGAGGGCCTGTGGGCGTGCAGAGAAAGGAGGATTTTGATTTTTCCAATTATATATCTGAAGTTGTCAAGGGGACATACACAAAGACAGTGGTTCCATCCCTTCCTGAGGGTAGCTGCCGGAGGAGCAACATGGGAAAAGTTGGGGTTGGGGGAGGAGTCGCACCCTGGAAATCAGCAGCAAGGGAGCCGAGAAGAGAGATGGGGAAGACACCACCACTTCCGTCAAGTGTTTATCTCCCCGTGAGGATGGGGGAAGTTATGTGCCCTTCTGGTGATGAAAGAACAGACCCAGGGGACCTTGGGGAAGACACAGATGAACGAGAAGGAATGTGGGGCCCATGAGGAGCATAGGGAGGTGGCAACATTTCATCCTCATCTGAAGGGGGAAGAACAGAGGCAGAAGGGTGCCAAGAAGACTCTTAGTTCTTGTCTGTTACGACCCTGGAAACCTCTGATATCCTGAAGAGCCAGGACTTTGGCTGATCTAGGTGCATCCTTGAGGCATTTTTGTAAACATTTTGGAGGATTAAGAACCAAATCTAGTCATTGGTCTGTATATGGGAACTGGTCAGGATGGCCAGGCCTGCCAGTTACCACATTCCAGACCTTCTGGACTATGAGGGCTTCCAGAGAGCCCTCAGATGGCCATCCAACATTGAAAGAGGGCCGTTCTACCTCACACAGAATTTGGAGGTGCCCTGGTGTCACAGGCACCCCATAGTCAATGTGAAGCCCTGATGAGAAGTTTTTCAACATGTAGTTCAAAAGGGTCAAAAGACAGGACTGATTAGATCCCATGATAAGGCCAAAAGTTAGAACAACAGGCAGAAATGGGAAGAAACTGGTAGGCAAAAGTCAAATTAGATAGTTGGTGGATCCAGGGGCAGTGAGTTGGGAAAGAAGAAGGTTTTCTCGCTGGGGCAACAATGAAGGAGCAATGTTAGGTGGTCAGGCAAGCATGTAACTACAGTTATCCTCAGAAAACAGACTCTCCTCCATCCCAGTCCCAGATCGTCACCACAATCTATGTAGCGGAGCACCTGGGTCCAAAACTGGCATCTCGACAGGTATCCAGTTTATTTGAGACACAAGGCCTCACAATCCACCCAGCTGAAACACCTCTAAGGCTTGACAGTCAATCTGGTTGATTCTCCTCTAGGTTGACATTCAACCCAAAATGGAGAGAACAAACAAGGTACCTCCAAACACACGCAGTTTTCTTAGTCTTCCTTCAAGGCCAGGCTTAAGTCAGTCACCACATAGGATCCAAACGGGACAAAACAGAGAGCTCCCACAACTAGAGGGGAAGGTGCCCCTTTCTGTGGGGTGGGGGGTCCCGATGGGCCGAGAGGCACAGCCTGGACCCCAGAGGATATCTCTCTGGGGCTTCCCAATATTTAGGCACTATTCCAAAATCCCAATCTTTTTGAAGTAAAGACAAAGGATTTATTCTAGCCAGAGCCTAGGGAGCAGAAAGCAGACAGTTCTGAAGCCTAAGACACTGAACGCGGGTTAGGAGGCCAACATTGGTAGGCAAAGAAGACTCTTAGTTCTTCTTAAAAACACAAAGAAGGGGGACAGGAGAGGCAAGTACAATTATAACACACATTTCATAAAGTGTCACCAAGTTCTCAGAATTGGCACCTCCCGTACCCACTCAGGAAGTAAGCTAGCACCAGCTCCAGAGTGTCAGGGTGCAAGTGGGTGGGGGTGTCAGCTTCTATGCAAGTGGACTCTTATAGGAGGGGGAGCCAATTTTGCGCAGGGTGAGATGTCTGAGCAGAATAAGGTCAGCCTGACCTAACTTCCAAATTAGCCCATACAACATTAAGAGCTGAGAATATGATGCAGACTCTGGGAAGATTATCTCAGGTATGAGTTGATCTCCATTATCAAAAGTGATATAAAGCAGGTCGAGTTAGCACACGCCTGTAATCCCAACAGTTTAAGAGGCTGAGGCAGGAGGATTGCAAGTTCAAAGCCAGCCTCAGCAATGTAGCAAGGCCCTGTCTCTAAATAAACTATAAAAAAGGGATGGGAATGTGGCTCAATGGTTAAACACCCCTGGGTTCAATCCCTAGTACAAAAAAATAAAAATTAAATTAAAAAATAAATAAAGGGAAAGGAAAAATTAATTTGATTATAGTTTAGCCAAAACTGGGAAGACAGCTAAACTCCCTTCCCCCTTTCACAGAAACTTTATGATTAATAGAAACAAAAATCAGGAAATATGGCAGAGCCAGGTTAGGCCAGCCAGAGATCAGTTGTAATTCTGGTTTTATTGGCTCCTATCTGGGGCTTTTTGGTTTCCATCATCCACCTAAGGAAGCCAGCATTTCATGGTTGCCAGATTTCACTTTGGCCTCCTTAGTTTCTGTTTCCTAGGAAAATGAAACCTAGCTCCTTGGCCGCCCAAGCACTGGGCGTGCCCTGCAGCCAGTTGGCGGGGGCTTCATCAGTGTTGGGGCTGGACAAAGAACACATGCTCTAGATAAATACCGGGGTCCATTCCACACTCTGAGGACTTCCCTTCACCAGGTAAGGCAGGGAGGGTGGAAGGGACTGCCTCTTGCTGTGGCCCCCAACCTCAGGTGGGCAGTGCCCAGTGTGCACCCACTCTCCCACAGATCCTTTCTTTCATCCGGGTAGCTGTGATTGGAATAGAGGAAGGGGATCAGAGGGAGGGAAGAGAGAAGGGAAAACGAGGGAATGAAATTACCCAATTATGCTCTGTGCATGTATGAATATATCCCACGAATCCCACCATTATGTAGGTCACAGTATCAACTTAAAATGAGAAAAAAATAAGGTATCAGATTTTTTAAAAAGTTAGGTATTGGGAGTGAAGGGACTTGAGCCCCCACCTGCCCCTGACTTCTCTCAAGCCTCCAGGGTGGGTGGAGGTGAAGTGGGCTCAGGGGAGAGGTAAGTGTCTGGAGGGAAAGCATCAGTCACGATGTGCCTGTGAACTAGAAGTACCTGCCCCTGGCTGGCTCTTGCTTTGCCAAGGCCTGGGGCATATAGCATACCCTCTCTGGGCTGCACCCTGTTTTCCCATCCCTAAGGTGGGGACAGAAGCCCAAGTTTCTCATGTTAGTGAGATCACAGAGCAGCAGGCACCCACAGTACCTTGGCTGCTGTTCATACCTTAACAGTGTGACTAGTTCTGATTTCCCAATTTGGGTGCTTTTAAAATTGCTCCATGGAGATTTAAAGGAATCCCAGAAGTGGCTAAGTGGGTGCTGGGCTTTTCTCGAGGAAGAAAACAGCTGCTGGAGGAAAGACAATACCCTGCGGCTCTCCCCTAGCCCCTACCATGGGTCTTTTGGTAACCTTGATGCCCACATTCCTCCTTCCCTCACCCAAGCCCCCTTCCAGGTCCACTGTCCCCACCAGCTCACAGCAGACCTCTCTACCCATCCCAGAGCCCCTCAGATTTTTCAGGACAGTAGGCTGGAAGCCAGTTCTGGGGGTTCCATTTCTTCACCAAAGTTCTACCCTTTGGTAGGTTTGGTCCAATAGAAGCTTTCTGCTCAGCAGCATGGCCCTTACGTCTGCAAGCATGCTGGCCTCCTCCCTGGCCACCCAGTTAACATCAGCAGTGACCATGGCTGAAGCTGGCGGGGCAGCCTGTGGCACCCTCCTGGCTGGCCTTTCGTCACAAGGTAAGTATTCTTGGAAGGGGCAGGTGCTGGGGGACGAGAGGACCGCTAAGGAGGATGCAGAGTCCTGCCCTTGAGTGTCCTTGTCCTCCCAGCACATCTATATGTCCCCCCTGGCATCCTCTCAGAGAAGGGCCTGAGGGAGGCAAGACCCTGGCTGTAGGCCTAGGGGTCCAGTTCCCCAAGGGCTAGACCTAGGCGCTTCCTGCGTCTCCTTCTCTCTCCAGATGTGAGCCTCCTCATGTCCATGTCTACAGCTAGGGGTCGTGGGAATCTCTAGCTAGGTCCCCCTCCCTAAGTTTCCTTTGTCAAGGAGCCCCCTCTGGCGAGCCTTCCCTAGTAGTTTGTCCTACTGGATCTGATTTTGAGCATTGATCATAACGAACTTCTTCACTTCAGGCCCTCTTTCTTCGTGTGTGTGTGTGTGTGTGTGTGTGTGTGTTAGTGGAGATTGAATCTAGGGCTCCTCTTTGGTTTATTTATTTATTCCCATCATTTATGTTTCTTTTCAACTCCATTTACCTCCCCCAAAGTCAACCTTTCTCACATGTTTAATGTGTGCCTCCCTACCCATCTCAGCCTGTGTGTGTGTGTGTGTGAGTTTTCATGTTGCAGAAGAGACCTGCCCATGGAGCCAGAGTGGCCATTGTCTTGTGATTCCACAGGAAGAATTTGAAACCGGATGCACAAAGAACAGACAGCAGTGTATTAGAAATGTGCGGGATTGTGGGCAGTGCAGTGCTATGTAGGCCAACTCTGGAGAGACAGGTGGCTCTTCCAGAGTCTAGGGTCTTAGGATTTATCCTTTAGTCCTTGCCCTGTTCTCTCAAGGACCCTGTCAGTGCTTTATTAGCCCTCATTCACGTGCAGCAAATTTTCTTTGTGAAGGTTGCAATGACCTAGTCCCAGGGGTGGGTGCTGTTGGATGCTGACACAGTAGTTCCCTTAAGGAGTTATAATTGACTCTGGCTGGGAGGTTTTACATGACAATTTCCATTTTTCCAGATGTCTGTTTAGATAAGGTAATCCCCAGTCCTGTCACCTATGCACTCTCTTTGATGTGTGTGTGATGTCCTCCCTGTAAGCTCCCTGCTTCACTGTCCCTCCCCAACCTCGTTTGTGCCAAGTGGCCAGCCAAGAGTCCACATGGGCTGTTGCAGACTAGTGGTGGTTTTCATTAACGTGTGTGAGTTACACACAGGACAGTGTGTTGTGTATGTCGTGCTACTGGATTATTTTTTTCTTATGAGAACTCTTCCTTGAGATCCATCAGTGTCCTTAGGGGAGCTTCTGTCTGTTGCCAAGGGTTTCTCTGGGGTGCCTCCACTGCCTGTGACCTTTCTGTCTCCCTGGGTGGACACCCAGGGCTTCTTCCAACTCCACCAGCACAAATAGCATGGATGGGTGGGGGTGGAGCCTCTGATACCTTCCCTGACCTCTGACCCCCTGCTCTTCCCCAGGGGCCATGCTGGTATCCCAGGCTTCCCTGGCCCCTGTGGCATCTACTGTTGGCTCCTTCCTGTCGGGGTTCTCTGCTGTCACCTCGGCTGCTGCTCCAATTGGAGGTAACTGGCTCTGAGTAACAGATACCACTTGTTGGGCTCCCAGTTCTGCGTGGCGAAGGTCAGGGCCTGGAGCACACCGGCGTTCCTTTCGCCATCAGAAATGCAGTCAAATCCTCAGCTCATGGTGAAGAGATTCATAAGATTAAAATAACAAGATTGGTTAAATTTTATTAGTGTTTTTACATTTAGTTGCTAAGTCTAGCACTTGACATTTGCCAATTCATTTAATTCTTCTAACCACCTCAGAGAAGTTAATATTGTGCCTTATTTACCAAGGGACAACCATGGGCATTTGGTCCCACAATTATGCACAAAGACTGAGTCCTGAAACTGACAATGTGTTGATGGGGGTGGGGGCTGGGGAGCCTGCAAGCTGCAACTGCTTTGTTCTTGCCCGGCTCATGGGGCAGTGTGAGCTTAGATCTTAACTATGGCAGAACGTATTGAAAACAACCAACTGGCTTGCTAGTACTAAGGAAACATATTTCCCAGTGACAAAACAGGATGTTCTCATAAAATGCCAGGAAACATACTCCTAAAGGACTTATTTTTCTCCTTAATCAGGGTCATTATTAGTCTAGCATGAGGAGTTATGCTGTCCTTGGCTTTGGCTAATACACAGGAACTCCGCATTAGGATTCTTCAGGGTTGCACTCTTCATGACTTCAGGAGACTGGGCCCCAACACTGGATGGACATTCGGGGCTTCTTCCAACTCCACCAGCACAAACAGCATGGATGGGGGATAGAGCTTCTGATACCTTCCCTGACCTCTGACCCTCTTCTCTTCCCCAGGGGCCACGATGATATCCAAGGCTGTCCTGGCCCCTGTGGCCTCTGCCGTTGGACCTCTGCTGGGGGCACTGAATGTGGGCTCTGTGGCTGCTGCCCCAATTGGAGGTAACTGGCTGAGTAACAGATGCTACTTGTTGGGCTCCCAGTGCAGCGCAGAGAGGGTGATGAGAAGGTCAGGGCCTGGAGCACACCAGCATTCCTTTCTGCGTCAGAAATGCAGACAGATTGTCAGCTCATGGTGAAGGGATTCGTAAGACTTAAATAACAAGATCAGTTAAATTAATTATTAAGTTTTTTTTGGCTTAGCACTTGATATTTGTCAATTCATTTAATTCTACTAACAGCCCCAGAGAAGTTAATACTGTGCCTTATTTACCAAGGAACATTTACCATTGTCCCTGTGCCCTGGGCAGGGAGGAGGGGTGGGAGGATGTTTTCAGAGCTTGGGACAGGAAGTAGAACAAAAGTTTGGAGATATTCCAACAGCAGAGGGTGGGGTGGGGTTTGGGAGGAACCCTCAGGCAGGCCAGGTTCCGCACACACCAGGGGAAAGGCCAGCCACCCACACCCGTGACCTCTGGTTGAGACCAGCAGGCAGGCCATGAGATGGACAGCCTTCCATGTAAGGAGCCCAGTGTGCCAAGCTGCCTGCTGGCTGGGCGTCACCTTCCCTGCCTGCCAATAAGTTGAGCAGCAAATGCCTTTCAACCTGGTTCCTGGGTCCAGAGGATGCCCCTGGTCACTCAGGGCTTGACCTTCACATGCCTGTTGCCCAAACCAGGGAGAACCAGGACCCTAAACCCCTGTTCCCAGATCCTCTTGACCAGGGTGGGTAAACACATTCAGGACAGGTCCTTGATCTCTGAACTAAGACTCCCCAGCAATCACACCTTCTGCAAAGTCCTGCTTCTCTGAGAAAAGCAGGGAGGGGCAGGCAGGGGCCATTCCTTCCTGGGCAGCAGCTCCCTACAGTGGGTCTTTGGCAGGAAGAGGGAGGCACAACGTGTGAGCCTCACAGCATGTTCTTTCCCTTCTAGTCAAGGCTGCTGCAGTCGTGACTGGTGGAGGTAAGCCTGCAGGAAGGGGGTTCCAGCCCCGCTTCCCCCAAACCCAGGGTGCAGTCAGAGATGCCAGGGCTCCTCAGGAGGGCCTGAGGCCTGGGCAACCCATAGCAGTCCCCTCTGGGAGTGCAGCCCCCTGTCCTGGTGGCCCCCAGTCCTTCCCCCACATTCCCTGCCTCACTGCCCTGGGCTCATCACTGCTACCCTTGCCTGTGGTCTCTCCCAAGCTCAGAGCCCAGTTACAGACTCCGTGAGGCCTCAGGATGGGCCCAGAGAGCAGGGAGTCCTTCCCCTGGATCCACCCCCATGCAGCTCCTCTCCCCTACAGCCCTGACCGTGGGTGCCGTGCCCGTGGTTCTGGGTGCCATTGGCTTCACTGGGACAGGAATCGCTGCCTCCTCACTGGCGGCCAAGATGATGTCCATAGCTGCCATTGCCAACGGGGGCGGAGTCTCCGCCGGCAGCCTGGTGGCTACTCTGCAGTCAGTGGGTAGGTGTTCGGCAGGGCTTGCTGGGGAGGGGATGGAGGAACACAGGAGCCACCAAGGACCCAGCCCAGATCTCACCCGTGGCCCTCTGCCGCAGTCCTGCCTCACCCTCCTCTTCTCTCTCGGGTTTCTCTGAGGGTGGGGGGTGGGGGGAGCCCTGGCTAGAGCTGCTGGCTTAGGGCCAGGTCACTTGGAGCATCTCCTCCCACTTGGGGCTCAGCCTTCCTCTACGCGGAGCAAGGCAGTTCCCGCGGATCCACCACTGGAGTCCCTCCTGGGCCACTGCTGGCAGCGCCTCTCCCCTAGACCAAGATGCTGGGGTTCAGGAAACAGAGGGTCTGCTGTGGGGTGCCCCGCCTCGGGCCCTCATGAGGAGCATCCCTGGCCCTGCACTTTTGTCCTTCAGAGCTGCCTTGGCCCTCCCCCCTCTGCTCACCCTCTGCTTTTTCCCAGGAGCGGCTGGACTGTCCTTGTCGTCCAAAATGGCCCTGGGCTCTGCTGGGTCTGCCATTATGGCCCGCATAGTGGGTTTGTAATAGTTCCTGCTACTCCCATAGAGAAGAGGACCCCAGGAAGAGGTGGTACTGCCCCTCAGCCTGACCCGGGAGGGGCCAGTCCTGGAGGGTCAGCACCAAGGACATACATTTCTTGAGAATAAAGCTTGTTGTTGCAACCCACCCGAGCCTCGCCTCCTGCTTCCAAGATGGGTGGGAAGGGCCAGGCAGGGGCTCTCTCCCACCATGTGTGGGTGTGTGCTGAGCAGGAATGAAGTAAGTGTGAAGACAGGAGCTGTCCCCTGCCCTGCTACTGACAGTGTGTGTCACTCTGGGCGGTCACTCCTCCTGTGCCTCAGTTTGTCCTTCTCTAAATGGGGAATTGAACCAAACGACCTCCCACATCCCAGCCTGGGTGGGTGTTTGGCTCGGGTTCTGCCAGGAGCCACTTCCCTCAAAGCCAGATCCTACTGTCCTTGCACTTGCCACCTCCTTGGTGTCTGGTGGCCATTTCCCTAGTAGCCTGGGCTGTTTTCCTTTTCCACACTCTTCCACCATGATGTTCTGCCTTACCTCAAGCCCCAAGGAACGGGGCTGGCCATCTATGGGCTGAGACTTCTGAAACTATGAGCCCTAAATAAACTTCTCCTCCTCTAAAATTGTTCTTGTCAGGTCTTTTGGGCATGGGGGTGGAAAAATCTGACTAGAACAGACATGCTCAGAGGGGGACAGAATCAACTCTCTGGGTGTGCAGCTTCAGGGAGTGGAAGGCTAGCTTTGCCCTGTGTCCTCTCCCTTGGGCTCTGTTGCGGGGGCAGTGAGCCTTCTACACCCAGGAGAGGACAGCAGCACGTCAAGGGAGGTCCACAGCAGGGCCACGGGGGTCTGGTCTCCAGGAGATAGATCACTACCCCGCTCCCAGACTTTGGAGGATGTGGTAGCAGAGAAAGCAACTTCTCTTGTGCAATCCAGCAGGGTGTCTCTCAGTGCAAACAAACACATCCTGAAGAACACCAAGGAACCTTCTGACTCCGAGCAATAAGAGAATGAACCCAACAAAAAAAATGGTTGCTTTGACCTTTCCTCCCTCTCAAAAGAGCACTAAAATACCTGTCAGGGATTAAAGAAGCCATGGCCTATTAGGAGAAAGAGAAGGAAAGAGGAGATGACAGTAACAAAATTTTAGGAGCCAGAAATGACCTGGACAAGGGGTCCTACTTAGCAGCACCATGAAAGCAGAATCTTAGTTGTTGGTAAAGACAGGAGAACTCGCCCCACAGGACCCCGCGCAGCTCAGCCACTGAAGTGGCCCACGCCTCTGGAGTTCAGCACAAAGGTAGGCTGACAGCAAGAGGGCTGGTGGCCAGGCTGTTTAAGAAGCAGTCAGACCCCATGGGTTCCTCCCCACAGATCACTGAGGCTGGTATCTCTGGAGAGGTTGGTCTCTGGACCAGAGAGTACCAGGCACCATGGAGAGCAGGAGCTTCATACTGAAAGGTGAAAGCTTCCAAATAAGTGTGAAGACCTTCACTCTTCATCAATGCTCCTGGGATGTGGGCAGCAAATTGGACTTTGTCCTGCCAGAAGCAGGACTCGGTCACCCTTGACACGATTTCCAGTCCTCCACCCACCGCATGTTCCTCTCGAGATGGTCCATCCAGGTCCTCCTGGTGACCACCTCCCTACAGAGTGACTGGACACACCTGCCTGGTCACCCCACTGGCCATCGTCCTTGTGTGGACTGCACAGAATTGCCACAGGGACCAACTCTCCGTCAGTGTGACCTCCCAGAACTCTCGCCTGCTCGTTCTAGCCCCCCCCCCCCCAGCTAGGACTCCCAGGGGAAACCTGCTTGGCAATGCCCTGGTCCCCAAAAAAGACACTGGCCCAAGGGGCTTTTGCCTCTTCCTCCCACCTACCGGCTGAGCGTACAGGTGCCGGGTGGCTCCCTGGTCCCATGGCCCTGTGAGGCATGCTGCCCTCTCCATCTGGACCTGTGAGCAACCGGCTGCTTCTGTCACTTGTGGGCTGTGTCGAGCTGCCTCCTCCGTCTCACACCCGACCTCACCCCCAAGTCTAACTCTCCTCCTGCCAGGGCTCTGCGGCAGAGGGGCCGTCTTGGAGTAAGTGACATGGTCAGACAGGAGCCACAAGGACATGTGCCAGCATGAACAAGTCTCCTGTAAAGGGGACACCTGGTCGTGGTTTGCATACTTAGACATTAAATAGCTGTCCCCTTGGATAAAGAAGTATCCCATGAGCTGGGCATGATGGCACATGCCTGTAATCCCAGTGCTTCCAGAGGCAGGAGGATGATGAGTTCAATGCCAGCCTCAGCAACTTAGCAAGGCCCTGTCTCTAAATACAATATTAGAAAAAGTGGCTCAGTGGTTAAGCATCCCTGGGTTCAATCCCCAGTACCAAAAAAGAAGTATCCCATGAAAAGTTCATAGTGAACACCACTGACCAACCCCTGGAGTTCCATCAGGGAAGGTCTAGAGTTTACGGCCACTCTCCAGAGATCGAGAGCTCAAGACCTAATTAAAAGAGGCAGGACAACAATAGGAACAACAGCAGGGGCGGGCCTGCGAGGACTCTCCCAGGGAATCTCACCGGCTCCGGAAAACCAAGGCTCCCATGCTTACACCCAGTAAGGGGGTGGCCCTGTGACGGCTCAGACAGATCACAGAGCTGTCCCTGGACTGACAGAGCATCCTGTGGCAGAGCCTGATATCTACATTCCAGGAGGTTCCACAGAAAGGGAAGCAGTTGTGAGCCCCACCCCTCTGAAGCCCTCAGGGTCCCAGCAGCAGCCATTGCCTCTGCTGCGGTTGGAGCTGGCATCTTGCCATAGGCTGAAAATGATCTTCTTGTGGGTGGATCCTCCTTGAAGAAAAGAAGGCCAGTAACATACCACGCCTGGAAATGCTCCTTTCTGTCCCAAGAACCCAGCCAAGTTAAGGGAACAAGAAGAGCAGTCCTGGACGGGAATGTCTAGATAAATCTGTATCTTGAAGGACAGAGAGTCCTTTTGTCACATATATTGCAACAGGGCAAACCTCTCTGAGAACTGCTTTTTTGCATACATGCCAGGACAGCTGCTCTTCTGAATGCTGGTCCAAAGAGGATTTCAGGAACAGTTCAATATTGTGCTCAGTCCCATGCGATTGTGGGAGGCCCTGAGCAGTGGGAGGGATCTGTCTTAGACTGAGACCTGGGGACAAAGATTTGAGTGCAAGTTGTTTATTTGGGACGTGACCCCAGGAAGCACCAATTGGGAGAAAACGGAAGTGAGACAGGGACAGGAAGGTAGCCACAGAACGTCCACTAGTGGATGAGTGTGTACCGTGGGCAGCTGGGGCTCCATCCCACTGTGCACTCCTGGTTGTCCCATCCAAGGGGAGTTTATCCTCTAGCTCCCATCCATCATTGGTCCAGGGATATTCTTGAGGGGCCAACACCCCGACACTTGCAGCCTGCCTTGGGGCCTGCAGGGAGGGCCCTGGGGCAAGGAGTCAAGAGGGCTGGATATAGAGAGCAGCAGCAGGACCGGAAGCACGTGGGCGCAGAAGTAGGTCAGGATGGAGGTCATCCAATCTAGACCCACATCCCTCCAAGACCTGCATATCCCAGGCTGCCTGGATGTCCCCCTTCACTGACAGTCTTGTAGGTATTTGCCACCCACCATGTTGCCATGGAAACATCTAATTACTTATTTTCTCCTACACTCCCTCCTAGCAGCTGGGACCTGGTTCCCTGGCACACCTCACTCTCTGCCAGACTTCCATGTACCTTTAGATGACCACCCATTTGTCCTTCCTCCAGGAAGTCCCTCCAGCTGTCCCCCACAGGAAGAGATCCCTGTCTTCTCTGGACTCCCTGCTGTGACCAAAAACCATCTGTTATGTTTGGGAGACAAGGTGTCCCTCAATAGCTCATGTAATAGACAATAATGATTAGAAGAGCTGTGACCTAATCAGTGAATTAAGCCATTGGATGATTTAACCATTGGAATGAATTCCTGGATGCTAACTGTAGGCAGACAGGGCATGGCTGGAGGATGTACGTCACTGGGGGCGTGCCCTTGGGGAAATATGCGTTGTCCCTGGCTCATTGTGCTCCCACACTCTCTCTCTGCTTTCTGACCACCATTAGCAGAGCAGCACCTCCCCCATGCCCTTCCACCGTGGTGTTCTGCTTCATCTTGAGCCCAGAGCAATGGAGTCACCCGACCATACACTGCATCTCTGAAACCATAAACCTGAAACGAATGTTTCCTCTAAGTTGTTGCTGAAGGTATTTTGGTCATAATGACAAAAACCTGACTAACAGGCCATCACTACACTGAACAGGTGTCCTGTATCACACTCATTCATGTGAGTGCCAGTTCCTCCTGATATCAGACTCCTTGGGTCAGTATGGACCCCTCCTGTCCACTGCAGTATCTCTTGCGTGGACAACGACTGCAAGGTCTGGGTGAGGGCATGGTCAGGGTCCCAGAGTGTCATGCGTGAATTACAGTCTCCTTTTCTAGTTTCGGGATACTGAGGTTTCTGTTTTTGATTCAGTCTCCCTCGCCTGAGGTACCAGTGCCCAACTTTAACACTCAGCACACTGTATTTCCCTGGCAGTTTGCTTGTTGACCTCTGGACCAGGACTGAGGACAGGCCAGAAAAAGAGACTGTCTTGCTCTTCCTGGGTGTCTAGTGCCTTTCATGAGGAAGGGCTGAGGGCACTGGGGTCAGTGGTTCATCGTGTGTTCCAGCTATTATGGTCTGGATCTGAAATATTCCGCCAGAGGCATATGTATTGAAGGCTTGGTCCCCAGTGCCGCAAAGTTCAATGTTCTGGAGGAGTGACCGGATCGGGAGGGTTCTTACCTCATCAGTGGATTCATCCATTGATGGATTCCTAATTTGATGGCATATTAATGGGAGGTGGTGGAAACTCTAGGAGGCGGGGTGTCATTGAAGGGAGTGTGCCATCAGAGGGTGTGCACTGGGGGGGGGCTATGTTATATCCCATCCCCTTCCCCTCTCACTCTGTCCACTTCCTGGCTGCCAGGGGAGCAGCTTTCCTCCACCACAGCCTCCCTGCCATGATGATTCTGCCTTGGAGCCAACCACGGACTAAATACCACCGAAACCCTGAGCCCAAATCATTCTTTCCTCCTCTGTTTCCAT